ATGTTAGAATATTACAACCAGTGGTCAGCCTGTGCCTATTTTAGGAAATTCCAGTAAAAATATTTAAGATGGGGGCCCCTGGGTGGCTCAGTCAGGTCTTGGGATCTAGGCCCCCCCCCCCCCCCCCCCGCTTGTGTTCCTTCCCTGTCTCTGTCAAATAAATAAATAAATAATCTTAAAAAACAAAAAAAGACAAAAAACCATTTAGGATGGCTAATACGGGCAGGCCAATTTAACGTGTAAAAAAACCACACCAGTACAACACACTCCTCTCACCTTTACTAAGGAGCTCCTGAAGGGCTGCCCTGGCCAGGGAACCTCGAATCTTCAGTCTCTCAGAGACAACAGCTGGAGTTATAAGCTTATAGTTGGGAACTTCCTTACAGAGTTTGTCGTATGTCGCTTTGTCAAACAAGACCAGATTATTGAGCTTGTCCCGAACTTTGCCTTTGGACCACTTCTGCTCACCAAAAGGAAAAGGAAAGTCAGTGCTCCTGGAAGAAATCACTCCCTCCCTCCCCAAACAACCTGTGTCCGAGAACTCTCTTCCACAGCCGTGGTGCTATACTGCAAGGGTGGCCGTTCCCGTGGAATTCAGAATTTACAGAAACTCTACAAACTAAGATTCAAGTCATTTGAAACGAGGACACAAAATACAAGGAAGCCTAGTTGCCATTAACGGCGTCAAAGATGCGTTAGACTGGGGGGGAAAAGTCTATGCGAATTTCGGATATAGGCTGAACCCCACGACACCAATTAAAATGTCATGTGCTAAACATCAGAATATACACTCGTTTAACTTCTAAGTAGTGCGTACCACCCTATTCTTCCCAAAAAAACACAACGGTGATGAGACCACAAGCTCCAACAATCGGACTCTAGACCGCACAACCTTAAAAGCCATTTGCTCTACAGGTCACTTATTACCACAACCACATGGGTCCGGCGTCCCCAGTACTCCCCATTCCTGGAGGGGCGGCTCACTCCTACCTTCTTTTTGGCCTTGCCCCCAGATTTGTTCACTGGGTCTTTGTCTTTCTTGGCCGACTTTCCGGCATCTTTCTTCTTCTTGTCATCCTTGGGCGGCTGTAGAGAAAAAGGCAGAACGCAGCCAGGTCACAAGGCAGCCCCGCACCGCCCTGACCCCACCACCGGAGCACATGGATGAAGCCATCCCCCCGCCCGCCCGCCTGAAGCAGCGGCCGGGCGGATCGGGGCCCTCCGTCCGGTGCCGCCTCAACTGCGCCCCAGCACCGCCCGGCTCCCCACCCCCAAGAGCTCACCATAGCGAAGCTGGGAGAGCAGCGTCAACCCCTGCAGCCTCCCTAAGATGTCGGACAGAAAGGAAGCACCGCTCCCCCACCGGCCCAGAAGCCTCCACCCGCAGCGAGCGCTTCCGGGGCAAGGGGCGGAGCCCGCGGAGGAAGGCCGGAGGCCCGGCCCCCTCGTGCCGCGGGGAGCGGGGCGCAGCGACGGGGCAGTCGTTCCCGAGCCGCGCTCCCCGGACCCTGCCCGCGACTTATTGGGCTTTGCGGCTAGTTGTGAGGCAGCCACACGTTGTATTCCCTGGCCCTGGAAACGAGAGACAGAAAACAATCAGCCAGGCCCCGCAACGACCCCGGCGACCCCGCTAAGCGTGGTGCTTCAAGTGCGCAGGCGCCGCAACCAGCGCGCTCGGGGCGGGGAAGAGGGGGCGGGGGGCGGGTCCCACGGCTGCGGTTCCGGGGCGGGGCCGCCAGGAACAAGCCCAATCCGCGTCTTCGGAGCCGCGGCGGCCGCAATGGCGATTTTTAGTGTGTATGTGGTGAACAAAGCTGGCGGCCTCATCTACCAGTTGGACAGCTACGCGCCCCGGGCCGAGGCTGAGAAAACTTTCAGTTACCCCCTTGATCTGCTGCTGAAGCTGCACGACGAGCGTGTGCTGGTCGCCTTCGGCCAGCGCGACGGCATCCGCGGTGGGCTAGGCTTGCGTCCGAGGGGCGGGCCCGGAGCTGCGCCGTGGGCTGGTGTCTCTGCGGGGCTGGGGAGGGCGCGGAGGGAGAAGGGAGAGGTGGGTGAGGCCGGGTCGCTAGTCCCTTCGGCGGAATCCCCACGCTGGGGCTTCGTTGACCCTTAGCTTCACCTCTGCAGTGGGACACGCAGTGCTGGCCATCAATGGCGTGGACGTGAACGGCAAGTACACGGCCGATGGGAAAGAGGTGCTGGAGTACTTGGGCAACCCTGCCAATTACCCGGTGTCCATTCGATTCGGCCGACCCCGCCTCACCTCCAATGAGAAGCTCATGCTGGCCTCCATGTTCCACTCGTAAGTCCCCCAGCCCTTCCTAGGGCCTGTGGGCCTGCACTTGGCCCTTGGGCCGGCTGGATTAGTGTGGTTCTGCGGGAAGTCTCCTGAGCGGCCGTGCTTTATCTTTCTTCGCCTCCCTTAAATCGTCAGTTCTTGCAGTTGTGAAAGAAAAAGAACTAATCCCGATGACTAGGTTTTAGGTAATACCGGCAGTGGTGTGGCCTTGCACAAGTCAACTTCTCTTCCCTCAGCTTTAGTTTCTAAATAAAGTAAGGTAACTGAATTAAATGATCCTTAAGACCTTTTCCCATTCTCAACGATAGTAGAAGGTGTGCTGGGTAATCGTAGCTGTGGGGTAAGTAACCATGGCACGCATTCCCAGTGGTAATTTTACCCAAAGTTCTCAATGTAAAATGGGTTTGTTTTTTCTTTTAAGATTTTATTTATTTATTTATTTGACCGAGAGAGAGACAGCGAGAGAGGGAACACAAGCAGGGGGAGTGGGAGAGAGAGAAGCAGGCTTCCCGCAGAGCAGGGAGCCCGATGCGGGGCTCCATCCCAGGACCCTGGGATCATGACCTGAGCGGAAGGCAGACGCTTAAGGACTGAGCCACCCAGGCACCCCTCCATGTAAAATGTTTTAAGGCAAAGTAGGAGTGTAAAATACATGCAGAGCTCAAATGAATTTTAAAGAAAGTTCGGTGCTGTTGCTGCTGGGCAATTGACACGGCCTGTTCTGACCTCTCAGGGTGTCATGTGAACTCAGCAGAGAGGGTCGCTTCAGTGGAAAAGTTTGAGAAGCACTCCTCCCTCAAAACAGCGGGGTGCATTCCCAACCTTACCTCCTTTGCAAATAGGCTGTTCGCAATCGGTTCCCAGCTGTCTCCAGAACAGGGCAGCTCAGGCATTGAGATGCTGGAGACCGACACGTTCAAACTGCACTGCTTCCAGACACTGACAGGTAGGCGTCTCCAGATAGGCCAAAGGGATGCAGAGGGGCAGGTTGGGGAAAGGGACTGACCAAAGACAGCTTTGGTAAGCAAGGGGGTGGTGGTTAACTTTTCCTGGGACAGTTGCACAGACACATACGTCTATTTGTTTTGTGAATCGAAAGCCAGTATTTAACCTGATGCCAGTTTTGTCCACGCCACCCAGAATGCTCAGCCCTGGGGATCCTGTGTGCAGATAAAACTCCCCGTAATGGTATCTCATGTTGCACACGTTTCAGAAGGTGTGTTTCGAAATGAAACCTGAATGCCAAACGGAAATGACCTTTGGGTCGTGTCACTGCCTCACTCCCTTAATGGGGATGATTGAAAACTGCCTGAGTCTGCCCGCTGCCTGGCACTTGCTGCTGAGGGACCACAAGATTAGGAATTAAGTGACAGAGCTAGATGTCAAAGCGTGGTCTCAATCAGTTGCGTGATGTGACAAAGTCACTTCCCTGCTCTGATCTTACAGATTCAGTTTTGCTCTTCCTGCTTTATGGAGCATTAAGGATAAAAATAAAAATGGGCTTATGAAAATGCCATATGCACACAGGATGATGTTATTTGCTGCATTCTGTACCCTCTTGTAACCATTCTTGGTCCTTCTCCAGGGATCAAGTTTGTGGTGCTGGCAGATCCTAGGCAAGCTGGAATAGATTCTCTTCTACGAAAGATTTACGAGATCTACTCAGACTTTGCCCTCAAGAATCCATTCTATTCCCTGGAAATGCCCATCAGGTAGGCGGTCTCCCTCCCCAGATACTGGTCAAAGCGTCCTTGCCCCTCCCTTTGTGCTCTTCCCCGAGTTCATTTTTCAAAAGGATAAGAAGAGTTACTTTTTAAAAAATTTTTTTAAGATTTTATTTGTTTGTGAGAGAGAGAATGGGAGACAGAGAGCATGAGAGGGAGGAGGGTCAGAGGGAGAAGCAGACTCCTTGCCGAGCAGGGAGCCCGATGCGGGACTCGATCCCGGGACTCCAGGATCATGACCCCAGCCGAAGGCAGTTGCTTAACCAACTGAGCCACCCAGGCGCCCGAAGAGTTACTTTTAAATAAAACAAAAGTGAGCTAGTCTTTTCTTGCTATTTTGAGAAACCAAAGATTTTTCTTGTCATTCATGTCCTTCAAGCAAGTTTCCCCTGGCTCTACCTCGGCACCCAAGGATGGGGAGGAGAGTCTGAGACCTCACACTTTGTCCTCATTTGTGCCTCTTGGGTCTGGCCTAGGTGTGAGCTGTTTGACCAGAACCTGAAGTTAGCCCTGGAGGTGGCAGAGAAGGCTGGAACTTTCGGACCTGGGTCATAGGCTGAGCCCACAATGGATCCCCCAAATTTGAGAGATCCTACAGCAGGGATCCTGCTGTATCCACTCCAGTGGAGATCCCTGCAGCCTCGTTAGTGTACTTGAAAATGGGAGGGTGCTGAGCCTGATGACATGTACCGATCCCCGAGCCTTAATGCCATGCTCTCTGCCCTCCTGTATCTACCGTGAGCCTACTTCCCAACTCTGTACAGGTTTATTTATGGAGGGAGTAGGCCCATAAATGCTTAATAAACATTCCTTTGATCTGTGTTCGCTATCCTCATTAATGGTTTGGGGGGAAGAGGCTCTGGTGGGGAGACAGGAATGATCAGGGAATTCTGGGAAGATGAGATACGTTCTAGTAGAAAACAAGTAATTGTTCACTGAAGAATGAGCATGGGGCTTTGAGTCAGGAGCCTTGGGTCTAGTTCCAGAATTGCTGACTTCTAAGGTGGTGGTGGCAGTGGTGATGACGGTGGGGTATTTATCAGGTGTTTACAGCCAGGTTTTACTGCTTTATTTAACTTAACCCTCACCCTAATCTTGGGATGCATTCTGTTACGGACAATAGATTTACCAAAGTACAGACTCTCTGCCTCAGAGTCTCAGAGCTAGTTACTAAGCACCTGAGTTTTAAGCCAGGCTCTCTGACTACACTCTCCGGGAGCCACTGTTACACTGCCTTCCTCCAGTTACATCTGCCAGAAACCCAGTGCTTCATCTGTAAAATGATCATTGAATTAATGCAATTGAAGGCAAAGGAGCCATAAACTTGAAGGAGTCCATGTCAGGTTTCCCATCCCAAGGAGATGAAGTTTGCCCCTTTTGGGGTATCAAGAGAATATTTTCCAAAGAAAGCAGTCTCTGGCTTGTAGTACCCCTTTGGAAAGAATGACTCCCTGATAGTATTTAGTATCAAATCTAGTTTTAATCTGTGTCAAGTCCTCCTCCCTCCCACCCACACCCCATGCCCCCCGCCGTCCCCACAGGGTACTGGTGAGCGTGATGGCCTCCTCTCCCCTTGGAATCGAAGGTATTGGCAATAGCCGTTGCCAGTGCTAAGAGGCCTTAGGGCAGCAATCATGGGTCCCTGGTACCCTGCCGCGGCAGGAGGAGCCTCACTCTACTGGCGATGGTGTGGGAGGGCCCAGCAGGGGAAGAAGGGTTTAGGGGACTCCCTGACTGCAAGGCTTTCCTGTTTGAAGGCAGGAAATAGGAGCTAGTGGAGTCCAAGAACAAAAGTTGCCTTTTAAATGGAACACAGGATGGGGAGCTGGGACCTCATTAGCCACTGGTAACTTCCAGCACCACCTGGGCGAGGGGAAAGGCGCACAAGAGGAAATCAAAGGTTCAATGCTAGCCGGAGCAGCCCCCCTTTCTTTCTCTCTGCCCCCCTCTCCCCGCAGCCCCGTGCAAGGGGAAGGCCACAGGTGGGAGAGGATGCACTGGAGCCTGTACTCTTCACTCAGCCTTCTTGGGCACTCGGCCCATCTTGGTGCGGATGTTTCGTAGGAGAAAGAAGGCAGCGGTGCTGACCGCACAGATCACTTCAGCCACCCAGAAGGCTGTGCTCCAGGTATAGTGCTTGGCAATGGTGCTGAAGGGCAGCCCAGCCAGAAAGCCGCCCACTGCCAAGGAGGAGGGGAGAGCCCGGGTCACTTGGGAGGCTAGAGTCAGTGGGGCTGGCCCCAGCCTCTAGCTAGCCTATGTGCGAGGCACAGTGGGGGAGAGGTAGACACTCTGGAGGGCACCACTTACCATTGGCCATGAGTCCCACAATGGCGTGGGAGGTGCCGCACAAGTTGGGAGGGGCGCACTCATTGGCTATAACTCCGAACAAGGCAATGGGACCGTAAGAAGAGAAACCAAACGCAGCTCCCAACACCAGGATCCAGAGCTGCAAGGACGGTGCAGGGTAGCATTTAGAGTCTGAGAAAGCCTACCTACCTACCACTGCCAGAGGGGAGAAAAATGCTTGGCCCTGGGAACAGATGATTGTAGTAAGGAGACAGTAAGTGACCACCCTCATCCCGCTTCCTGATAAAACTGACAAGGCCAAGCTAGAGGAGTGGGGCCACACTGAGCCAACCTGAGGGCCTGGGTGGGTAGGTGAAGGAGCGACAGAAGCCATCCCTCCCAGTTAGATGCGCTCTCTCAGAACTGATGCTAGGGCAAGGCAGACAGGGTAGGACAGGGGGAGACAAACCAGGAGGAAAACCACAGATAAGGCACCTCATGCTCCGTAAAGCCTGTGAGCTCAGCAAGTGGGTGAAGAGCTGAAGTCCAGAAAGCAACATCCTAGAGGAGCACAGGGAAGAGAAGAAAACCGGGCCCCAGGTCCAGGAGGAGCACCAAAGTACAGAGGACACGAGATAAACCAGAACTAGAAAGGGAAATCTGAGAGGCAGAGAAAGGCCTGGGCCAGGGTGGAGCCAGGGACAGGGAGCCTGACAGTCAGTGGCCCTTGCTCTCTCATCCTTGTGCCGGCGGTGGGCCAGGCCCGCCTCATTTACCTTGGGGGAGTCACTGCTCACAGTTACCCGGAAGAGGTACATGGACACGGTCATGCCAGCCATCATGAACAGCAACAGGCCGTGGCGGGGGTTCCCGTAGATGGACAGCCTTGCCTGTGGATACAGGCCCAGCAATGTCAGGCCCTAAAAGCAGCAGAGAACCTCCGCCTCTGGACTCTGACACGGCAGGGCTTCTGCTGACAGGTCTTTGGCAATCCCACCACAGTTCTTGGCCCGGGGCAGCTCTGGGAGGCCCTGGGACCTGCTCATTATATTCTGAGGCCAAACTCCACCACATCCCCTCCTCCACCGTGGGGACATATGCTGGCAAGCTGCACCTAGCCTCTCCTCAACCCCAGTTGCCCTGGGGCTGTAGAGAAGCCCACTGCCAGGCTGAGAGAAATTCTAGCTCTCCTTGACATCCGTTAAAACCCTTTCCCCAGGAGCCTTACCTTGCCTCCACACCCTCAGCAAGTGAGAGTAGCCTGGAATCATTCCAACCTCCCCCCACCCATATGCCAACCTGCCTGTTGCCCCAGAGCTCCCGCCTCTCTGGTGCCTGTCCCGGTCATGCTGGGGAGATTTAAAGGGACCCTCCTCCTTCCTGTCCCTTCTGCGCGCTCACCTTTGCCATGGCCCGGTCTGACAGGTAGCCAGCTGCAATGCTGCCTATAAGGCCCCCAACCTCCAGCGCACTCATGTAGGAGCTACCTGGCGTAGGGAGTTGTGGTGGGAAGAGGGAAAGGAGGGGTGGAAGGGTGTTAAACACACTAGGGTTGTCCCAGACTGGCTGTAACCCAGAGAGGTACAGGGTCCCCAGGGTGACCGGCCACAGCTGTCTGGGTGGTGCCTGGCCTCAGGGAAGGAAGAAAGGGATAAAGAGAAGCTGGGCCTCAATTTCCCATCCCTTTAATTGATTCCTGCTCCCTAGGCGCCCCCCTGCTCCAACACTCATCTTACCCACGAGGACTGACTGTCCTTTCTCCTGGATAAGGAAGAACTGGCCCCAGTCGGTACAGCAGGTCTTTACTCCAAATACCACGAGGTAGCCAATGGAGAGCACCCACAGGTAGGGGGACAGCAGCAGCTCCTGCAAGGTACTCTCCTCCTCCAAGGAGCCTGGGGGCAGGAGGAGGCCAGGCCTCAGGCTCTGCTCTTGCTGTTCTGCCCCGACTGAGCCCCCACCACTCATTAACCAGCCACAGGGCCAGAGTCCATCCACATAGCCAGGGACCAGCAGGAAGGTACCCTTCCAGCCACCGCTCTGCCCTATCCGCTCCACCACAAGTCTCAGCAAATGAGACTTAAGCTTAAGCTTAAGCTTAAGACCTAAGCCACTTAAGCTTAGGATGCTGTCCAGGAGCGGGAAGTCTGGCTCTGCCGTGAGGAAGGACCAGGATATAACGTGAGTCACAGCATTTGTTGCCTCTGCCACTTGTCTGGTACTTACGTGTCTCTTGGAACGGAGTTTTATTTACTCCCTACCAACTCGCCATCACCGCCCCTCTCCCTACAGCCATTGGCTAGCCCAGGGCCAGGCATCCAGCCAGTCCTCAGTGAGTCTGCCCGATGAACGATGAATGAATCAGGCCCCATGATCAGCTTGGGTGGGGGCTCACCCTTCTTGCCCTTGGCGGGGGTGGGGTCCAAGTTTCGGAGTCCCACGTCGGCAGGCTCGTTGTGGATGAGCAGGAGGCAGAGGAAGGAGACAACCACACCGAGGGCCCCGGACAGGGCCAGCGTGCCGCGCCAGTGGTAGCTCTGGGCGAGGGTGGTCGCCAGGATGGGGCCCAGCGCTCCGGCCAGGTTCATGCTTGTGGACAGAATGGCCCACCAAGTGCCAAACTGAGATGGCTCGAACCACTGTGGGGCAGAGGGGGACAGAGTAGGTCCCCACGTTAAACACGCTGAAGGTGAGGGTCAGGTGGGGCAGACCTAGGAGCTCACGTTACAGGGGTGAGGAAGAGGGCGCTTCTACTTGGTAGGGCCAGTGCCCTCATCTGCCACCTGATCCCACCATGTTTAGCTCCTAAAATATCTTGACAAGCAATAGGAGCCAGACTGGAGCTCCCAAGGAACCTGCTCTGGGATGGGGGTGCTGGTACTCCCACATGCTCCTTAGGCATCCTCTGTGCTAGTCTAAAGCAGCTCCCCGGAAGCAGACACTCACCTTCCGCAGGATCTTCCCACACGGAGGCCAGCCCAGCCCCTGTGCCAGGCCATTGAGGAACCACAGAGCAGCAAAGACGGGGACCATGGAGCTCCAGGAAAACGCTACATTGACCACGCCAACCAGGAACAGCCCCAAAGAGAAGAGCCAGCGAGCACTCATCTGGTCGGACAGCACCCCGCTCACAAACTTGCTGATGGCGTAGGCTGCCGACTGGCTGCTGGTGATGAGCCCTGCAGGGGTGGGGGGAGAGAGCAGGAAGCAGGACACCTGGGGAGTCAGGGGCCGGGGCAAAGGCACAGGAGGCATGGAGGAAGGCATGGGGTCATGTGTGTAGGGGTGCCCGGCAGGGTGAGACAGGTTCCCTCCCAGGCAGCTAGGAAGAGCCTGCGCTGGAATCACGGGGCCCCGCTCCTCCTCACCACCAGCGCTAGCCCCAGGCTGACCCATGACTTTTCAGCCTCCTGGGGAGGTCCATCTGCAGCTGTCAGGAGGCAAGAAGGGAGAACAGGGCAGCCGCCCTCCCTGGGATTTACAAAGGCCTGATGACATTTCCCCCTCACACTGGATGCCAACCCAGGGCTTCTGGAAGTTCTGTTGCCCCACCTCTGAACATGGGGTGAAGAGCTTAGAAGTGGAGTCAAGGGCCTTCTTCCTCCTAAAATGTCACCTGGTGGGCCACATGAAGTTATTTTGCCAACTCCCCAGACGCACCCCGCGGTCTTAGCATGCCCCCACGCAGTGTGGAAACTGTGCTCAGAGTGCCCCTAAACACACTCAGAATAAGCCATGCCTCTGGGGGCACTCGTGGCTCACAGGCCCACAAAGACACATCAGATGAGCAGCGCTCCTCAGGCACACAGAGAGCACACGCCTAGTTCTTCGCCCTTCCACAGGTACACGGTCAGTCCGTTCAGGCCGCACCTGCAGGCCGCTCCCTGTCCTCTGCTGTGCACAGACCCTCCACACTGCCACAGACACCCAACTTGTCCTACTAGTCCTGGGTCCCAGGGCCCACGCCCCTGCCTTCCAGGGCTCACCCAAGTCATCCTTGTCCAGAGGGATCTCCTCCACCAACGACGGCATGACAAAGGAGAAGGTCTTGCGATTGAAGTAGTACAGGCTGTAGCCTCCAAACATGGCTGAGAAGATCACAGCGCGGTAGAAGCCGTAGCCTTGGGCCGCCATGGTGGAAGGGAGCAGGCCCCACTGGTGGGGACTCGGAGCCTCTGGCCACAGCTCCTGCCGGTGGCTCTCTCAGTGCCCCAATCTGCTGAGTTGGGCTTTTTCTGCTCCCTCCTCCACCCAGCCTCCCAGGCTCCCTTTATAGCCACCTTCTGGACAATCATTAAGCCTGGGGCAGCTTGTAGGGAACCCAGTGTCCTGAGGGAGACAAGAAAACAGCCGATTACTGAGGGGGAAGCGGTGGGGGCTGGAGGGGGTCCCGGAGGGAGGCACTGCCCGTGACCCAGCACCAGCCAGCATGCTGTGTCCCCAGAACTTCTGCTTTTCTCCGCTTTTCCTTGTCTGCCCACCTGTGAAACCAGCTGTGATTAAAGGCTCGACCTAATTACTTTTGTCTGCAGAGCCCAGGGGAGGCAGGGGTGGGATAAGCAGAGATGCCCTCTCTAGCCCTGCTCCCTCAGTCACCTGCCTTCTCATTCATTCAGCCACGAAGTTTGGGGAGGGCTTACTGGGTGCCAAGCATGGCACTAGGTGCTGGGTTAGTTTCCACACACACACTCAATTAGACACATACCCCCAACAGCCCGACTCCCAAGTCTTAGGACTGACTCAAGTAACTCCCAATGCTCAGCACACATTGGGGTGTAACTGTTTATGGATAGTTGCAGACCTGTAAGCAGGAGAAACTTCCCCTTTGCAGGCCCTGGGTTGCGCTAAAAGGCCCCCTAAAGGCTGGGGTCGTGGTGGGGGCCACTCAGCGGTCTCTGGTCCCTTTACCCTGTAACGACAGGATGGGGTGCCCTCTGGCCGGCTGGGGGCTGCAGGGTCGGTGACAGCACGGCCCGTGGGCGGGAAGGTGCACCCCGCGGACTTCAGGCGGCAATGTCGAGCCAGCCCTCTTCCCAGGGCCCCGGCAACACGCCCCCGGCTTTTCCGCTCAGTTGGGAAAGCAACTGGAGCAGAAGGCGTACGCGCGAGCGGAGCAGGCGGCCGCACGGAGTCTCCCGGAGGCTCCGAGTGGCTCAGCCCGGCACGATGGGGCCAGGCGCAGGCTCTCGGCACCTGCCCAGCCCCGTGTCCTCAAGCTACCCGGGTCACCCGACTCGGGCTGGAAGCCCACGGGTGCGGGAGCTGGAGAGGTGCGGAGACACCGAACCGGTGCGACAAAAAGCAGCAGGTCCGTGCTGGTCACGGGCAGCACCTAGGAGGCCCCCAGACCCAGGAACTGCCCCCCACCCGGGAAGGGGCAGCTGCAGGAACAGCTCTGGTTTGTATCGGAAGTTAGGGCAACCTTTGTTGGGGCTCTAACAAAGGAGCCCAAACACCCGAGACTCCCCCTCCAACCCCGCCTTCGGGCGGCGCCCCTCCCCCGCATTCAGCCGGCTACCTGAACGCCGGCGGGAGCCGGAGTAGGATAGAGCGGGGCGGCGGGGCCCCCTGGCGCATGCGCGTGCGCTGGGGGCGGGGCCTCCGCCAGCTCATTGCTGGCTGAGAGCCAAGTCCACCCCTCGGCGCTTAGTCTTCGCCCTGCGGGCGGTACAGGTCCTTGGGCGAGGACAGCGCCCCTTAGGGGCTGCATTCGTATGTTCCCTTCTTAACTGGTGGGGTTCAACAAATCCGTTTTTAGTGAGTGCTTCCCGCTACCAATCACTGTTCCCGCGTTATTCACAGTCTGAGAAAGCTCTTGTAGAGAGCACAGTCTTTTCTGTAAGAAATTAAGGCAGTCCCGGAGCGCCTGGGTGGCTCAGTCGTTAAAAGCGGCTGCCTTCCGCTCAGGTCATGATCCCGGGGTCCTGGGATCGAGCCCCGGATCGGGCTCCCTGCTCGGCAGGAAGCCTGCTTCTCCCACTCCCGCTCCCCCCTGCTTGTGTTCCCTCTCTCGCTGTGTCTCTCTGTGTCAAATAAATAAATAATAAATCTTAAAAAAAAAAAAAAGAAATTAAGGCAGTCCCCATAAGCACAATATGAACATTTAACTTGAAATCACAATGTTGTGAACCGGGTTAAGATAAAACAAACTGAGGGTTTTAGAGGGGAGGGGGGTGGGAGGATGGGTTAGCCTGGTGATGGGTATTATAGAGGGCACGTTCTGCATGGAGCACTGGGTGTTATACGCAAACAATGAATCATGGAACACTACATCAAAAACTAATGATGTAATGTATGGTGATTGACATAACATAATAATAATAAAAAAAAGATATAATAGAGTGTTTAAAGTACCTGGCCAGAAATAAACCTTAAATTCTAATCCCAGACCCACTACATTTTAACAATGTCACTTGGGTAATAATCTCTATGAGCCCCAGTTTCTTATAAATCTCATAGGTTTGTTGTGAGGACTCAGTAGAAGATTTTTTTTTTAATATTGTAATTTTAAAAATAATGTCTACACCCAACATGGGGCTTGAACTCACAACCCAGAGACCAAGAGTCACATGCTGCACCAACTGAATCGACCAGGCACCCCTCAGTAGAAGATTTAGATAAGAATTAAGAAAATTTAGATAATTGCTTTCATAGAGACTGCTGGAGAATTGCTGAAAGAATTGTAAGTGTTCCAAAGTTGACAGCAAAGATGTTTTAAATTGGGAAGGTGGTCAGGGAAGGGAGGAGAAGCCTGCAATCTGCCAAAAGCCCAGTGTCACTCCAGGAGGCCCCATGAAAGATTTTAAAACAGAATTATAAAACACTAAAGTATTATGGTAACTACTCTCAACCTACAATACTTGATTGGATTCTGATGAGAACTGTGAGCGTGATCAACGTTTTTCCTCATTTCTGTCTGGGTACCTGAAATGATAAATGATGTCAGGGATTCCCATCCGCACAGGAGTAAAGCATTTAGCCTCCCAGATGAGGATCTTGGGCAGATGCTTAATGACTGAGCCAGCCAGGTGCCTTGACCTACACTCTTTTTTAAATTAAAAAAAAAAAAATGTTTTTAGACTATTGAAAATTATTAAAGTCATAAAAGACTTTTTCCTTTTTTTTTAATGGGAAACTGCTTTCTCCTTATTTAGGCTTTAGGAAGAAAGTTAACTTTGGTTACGTATTACGTTTTAAAAAAATCAGTTTTATTTTATTTTTTTTAAAGATTTTATTTATTTATTTAACAGAGAGAGAGCACAAGTAGGCAGAGTTGTAGACAGAGGGAGAAGGAGAAGGAGGCTCCCTGCTGAGTAAGGAGCTCCATGGGGCTCATCCCAGGACTGCGGGATCATGACCTGAGCTGAAAGTAGAGGCTTAACCGACTGAGCCACCCAGGCGCCCATATCTATGGATATTTTTCACATCATCAAAACTGAGAGATTTATTTATTTTTAAAGATTTTTAAAGATTTTATTTATTCATTCAAGACACAGAGAGAGAGAGAGCACGAGCAGGGGGAGAGGCAGAGGGATAAGCAGGTTCCCCACTAAGCCAGGAGCCCGATGTGGGGCTCGATCCCAGGACCCTGGGATCATGACCTGAGCCGAAGGCAGATGCTTAACCATCTGAGCCACCCAGGTGCCCCAAAACTGATAGAGTTAAAAAGTACTTACTTATGAATACATTTTAAAGCGATACTAATAAACCTTCTAGGATATCGATGTAAATAACATTTTTAATGAAAAATAATGATATTTAAAGAATCTATGAGAATAGTGAGATTGTTTTACATTTTTGCAAATCACTTTAACTTCTGCTTTAAAAGACCACTTATTCTCACATCTGCTTCTGCATTCAGGCTGCTGCCTCTGCTGTTTTGGTTGAAGTACATGAAGATAGAGCCTCACACAGATACATAGTTGGAAAGGGAGGAGGAGTTTTATAGGCTTTCCAGGTATTTGTGAATATTCTTTTTTGATACTACACTAAGCTGGACAAGTGGTAGTTTCTTTTTTTTTTTTATTTTTAGATTTTTATTTATTTATTTATTTGAGAGAGAGAGAATGAGAGAGAGCACATGAGACGGGGGAGGGTCAGAGGGAGAAGCAGACTCCCCGCTGAGCAGGGAGCCTGATGCGGGACTCGATCCAGAGACTCCAGGATCATGACCCGAGCTGAAGGCAGTCGCCTAACCAGCTGAGCCACCCAGGCGCCCCAAGTGGTAGTTTCTTAAAGATTGGCTGCAATGTGTAATCTGAAACTAAGTCAATGAAGTTTTCATATTCTAATAAGTTAAAATCTATTGGTCTATCTTGCACCAAAAATGGATATTTTACACATGCATGATTTTTTTTTAAAGAGTGTGTGTGCGCGTGCAGTGAGGGGGAGAGGCAGAGGGAGAGAAAGAGAATCCCAAGCAGGCTTCACGCCCAGCACAGAGCCCCACGTGGGACTTGATCTCATGACCCCGAGATCATGACCTGAGCCGAAATCAGGAGCTGGATGCTCAACGACTGAGCCACCCAGGCGCCCCGCATGCATGATTTTTTTAACATCATGTGTTGGTCATTTGGAAATGGTTGGTTCACTGAATTATGCAGATCTTCCCAATGTTAATGTATTTCATTACACAATACCCCCCAAAAATGATATTTGGTAATATCACCACTGGTTTTATTGGAAAAGCGTTAAAAGAGTAGGAAGCCATCAAGCTCAAATTTTGTTTTTGGCAACAAATACTGTCAGTTGTTTTCCTTGAAGTGATGGGATCACTGTGTACATTTTGGAGAAAATGTCTGCCAAATACCCGAGTCCCAATAACCATAGCTTGTTTCTCAGGTGTTCTTTCCAGTAAAACTGGTGTTCCATGAAAGAAGAGGCTAATTCAACTTGCAGCTCAAACAACTGCATAGATGTGTTTCCTTGGGGGCAACCACTGTACTTCCAGAAGTACTTTAATACCTTACAAAAGACGTGTACTCAAGAGTTGAAATTAGTAAGAGTAATGGTTTCCCCTTCACCCCCCTTTTTTAAAGATTTTATTTATTTATTTGACAGAGAGAGACACCGAGAGAGAGGGAACACAAGCAGGGAGAGTGGGAGAGGGAGAAGCAGGCTTCCCGCGGAGCAGGGAGCCCGATGTGGGGCTTGATCCCAGGAGCCTGGGATCATGACCTGAGCTGAAGGCAGACGCTTAATGACTGAGCCACCCCGGCTCCCCGGTTTCCCCTGCTTTATCAAGGACAGTCTCAAGTGAACCTAACTTTGAGTGTGTGGTGGTGAAGAAAACCATGATTACTAATATTGCTCAATGCCACTGCCTTGATTCGCTCCAAGGGGTCTGCAGCTTAATCTTTCATTGCCTTTACACCATCAGGGCAGATATGAAAAGAAAAAAAAAAGGCAAATTACATCTCAGTATTATTATAAAGATAATCGTGTCCTCCCTGACTCCCTAAAAAAGTCCTCAGGGATCCAAAGATTGCACTTTGAGAACCACTGCCTTAGTCCAACCAAGATTTGAGCAGATTTGATTGGAGAGTATAGTCTTTGTGAAGGGTGATATAGTTCATGTTTACCCTTATTTCTAGAATACAGTCCCTCGGGGGTCCTAACTTAATGCCTGGGCTGTTTTTCAGGATGCCTTCTCCTTGGCGGGCTTTGAGGTCTAATTTCTGTCCACCACCACCACACCCAGTCCTAGGAGGCTTCCAAAAGCTGGGCTTAGCCTCTCTCTCAGCAGCTTCTTTCAAATTGGCAAATCCTGTGGTGATGCAAACACCACCAAATGTTGAACTTGCTTCTTTGGGACCCTGACCCCTGTGGCAGACTGATTGTAAAAAATAGCTGAAATTCTTCGTCTATAGTAGGTATATACAATGGAATATTGCTCAGCCATTAAAAAAGAAAGAAATCCTATCATTTGTGACAGTATGTTTGAAATGGGAGGGCATTATGCTGAGTGAAATAGTCAAGACAGAGAAAGATGTATACAGTATGGTATTACTTACATATGGAATTAAAAAAAATAGGTGTGGGGGGGTGCCCGGGTGGCTCAGTTGGTTAAGTGTCTGCCTTCAGCTCAGGTCATGATCCCAAGGTCCTGGGATCAAGCCCTGCATCAGGCTCTTTGCTCAGTGGGGAGCCTGCTTCTCCCTCTGCCTGCCGCTCCCCCTGCTTGTGCTCTCTCTCTCTGACAAATAAATAAATAAAATCTTAAAAAAAAAAAAAAAGGAAAAAAGTACCAAATGGAAACATACCTGGAGAGAATTTAGGTAATAGTTATCAAACTCAGATTTTAAGATAAATGTGATTGGTATGTCCAAGAAATCAGATGACCAGCAGAGACCTAGAAACTGTCAAAGATACTCACTTCGATACTCTTAAACTGAAAAATACAGTAACTGGAAGTAAGAATAGATCAGACACAAGTGAGGAAAGAATCAGAAGATAATTAAATTCACTTTTGTCTAAAAAAGGCAAAGGCCAAAACAAAAAACTATATTATGTAATTGTGATGGTTAATTTTATGTGTCAACTTAGAGGGTGCTTTGGATGAGATTAACATTTAAATCAGTGAACTTTGGGTAGAGCACTTTGCCCTCTGTAATGTGGGTGGGCCTCATCCAATCAGTTGAAGACCTGAAGAGAACAAAAAGACTGACCTTCCCTGAGCAAGAAGGAATTGTCCAGGGGCACCTGGGTGGCTCAGTTGTTAAGCATCTGCCTTTGGCTCAGGTCATGATCCCAAGGTCCTGGAATCGAGCCCTACATCGGGCTCCCTGCTCCGTGGGAAGCCTGCTTCTCCCTCTCCCACTCCCCCTGCTTGTGTTCCACTCTCGCTGTGTCT